CCCAAGTAGATTAGGATTTGATTTAGGTTGACACGGGATGACCTGGGTTAACTCGGGTATGTTAGTATTTGATTTGGGTTGACCTGAGTTGACTCACATTGACCAGAGTATGTTAGGGTTTGATTTGGATTAACACCGGTTGAATTAAGCAGATTAGGGTTTGATTTGGGTTGATTCGGGTAGGTTAGGGTTTGATTTGGGTTAACTCGGGCAATTTCGGGTTTGATTTAGATTGATCCACGAGTTGACATGGGTTAACCTAGATAGATTAGAGTTTCATTTAGGTTGAACCATATTGACTTGGGATGCAACGGGTAGATTAGGGTTTGGTTTGGGTTGAACTAGGTAAACTAGGGTTTGATCTGCGATGATCTGGGTTATCTTGGATTGACCCAGGAAGATTAGGGTTTGATTTGAGTTGACCCAGGTTTAAATGGGTTGCCCTAGTTGATTAGAATTTAGTTTGGGTTGACCTAGATAGGTTGGGGTTTGATTTGTGTTGACCCGAGTAGATTTAGGTTAGGTTAAGATAAACCTTAGCTAGGTCGAGTCTTGGTTGAGTCAGACCTCAATTAAGTTTAGGGGTTGGGCTAGGTTGGGTCAGGTCTGAGTTGGGTCATTCTTGGGTTAGGTTTAGGGTTCATGCTAGGTTTGGTCAGGTCTGGGTTGGGTCAGAACTGGGTTTGGTTTGGCGAGACCTGAGCTAGGCTGAGTCTAGGTTGGGTCAGGTCTGGGTTTGGTAGACCTGGGTTAGGTTTAGGGTTTAGGTTAAGTTGGGGTAGGTCTGAGCTTGGTCTGGTCTAAGTTGGGTCAGGTCTATGTTAAGTCAGACCCGGGATAGGTTTGGGTTATGTTGGGCTAGATTTGTGCTAGGTCTGGTTTATTCTAGGTCAGGTTTGGGTTGGGTCAAACCTGGGTTAAGCTTGGATTAGGTTTGGGTTAAACCATTTTAAAGATTAGAATTAAGTTGAGTTTAGGTCGACCCGAGTCGAACCCAAATCGAAGCCTTATTCAATGCAATTGAGTTAACCTATCTTACTCTTAAACTTAAACACTTAAACTTAAACTTAACTTAAAATACTTAACTAAAATAGAGGAGAAAGACTTACAAAGGAGACGGTTGGCCGGAGGAGGAGAAGGTTCGCCAGAGAAAACTGGAGGAAAATACTTTAAGGTAGAAGAGTTTGAGATACTTCAAGGCACACTTTAACTTGATTATAGATCCCCTCTTGGGGGCACGAAAAACCTCCTTTTATCGGCGGTGGCATTTGTCCTGGGTCGTCGATCAGATGGGAGATCGATGACTTGAATTACTCTAGCGGTTTTCACAATCGTTGACTGTTGCTAGATATTTTCAGCTGCCCGATTGAATGGACGGTCGGGATCAGGATCCATGGACAACGATTATGGATCAGTGACATAGCCAATGGGAGATGAGCACGTCAATAAAATTGGGGGCATGGCCACACTGAGGCTGGGCGTGGTCACGCCCTAGGTAGGCTTGACCAAGCAAGGCCAGAAAGAGGCACCGTTTTTTTTATGGTTAAGAGACACTAAGACATTTTCAGAAGCTCCATATGACTTCAGAAGTTGCATGTGACTCAAAAATGTGGTCAACAGAGAGACCCTCTGATGTCTCCAATGTAGTTGCACAACCCATGGGGGTATCTCCTCGGGTTAGTTTTATCTTGGTCTGATAGGCTCGGATTATCCCTTGCCTCGTGTTTGGTTGAGTCGCGTGGGCTTAGGTCTTCACGTCGCTTTTATGACTTGATTGGCTTTGGACTTGATATGTTCAGTTAGCAAGACTTGATAAATCCGGTCACACAATTAGGTCTCCTGGCATTCTGCTGGTGGGCCCTCCTTTGATATGACTTGTTCCATTTGCACCATCAGATCTACTTGAGATTTGTGCTAACACTTTTTTCGTATACAATAAGAATAATTTTCCGACTGGCTATAATCACCATATTAAACTGATTTAATCTACATGATTTATTATACAATTAAACGAAATCTTATAGGGTTCTATTATCTTTATATAATCATAGAATTTCTGATAATGATGTAAATTTGTTTGGCAATTTTGTTATCCAGATTAACAAAAATTCATATCACCATCAAAATTGCCTTAAAAAAAGCTCTGTCCTATTATTTCGTGTTAATATATTAAAATCTCAATAGAATATTTGAAAAATATATGGCATCGAAAACATGTATATGTTTGGCGTGAATCTAATTCGGCATTTATTGAAAATACATTTACGAAATCTCATACAGACTTGATATGATCAGCTAGCTATTTTAAAATTTTAAAATTAAACCTATCAATACATGCATTATTACTATACTAATAAATTAAATTATAGTTGATATTTAGAATATTAAAACTTTACAGTAATTATGCATCGTATACACAGTATTCTTGACCGGCAAAAGTATCCTTAGAACCTGTTTCATTGGGAGTGTTGAATGTACTTCATTTGAAATGCATGAATTATTAGTTTTCATTTCAAATATCTAGTTGAAAATAAAGTAAAATCAAAATATTAATTTCCATTAAAAATATTGTGAGAATAATTCTTTGAATTTGAATCAGCACTATAGCACATTGTTCTCTGCTCCTCCTGATCGTCACGTTGCTCCTCCACAGCTCGCATGTAATGTCTCTGCATGTGCTTCCTGCACCCTCCATCTCAGCATATTGCACCTCAAACCTCCACCGGTGATGACAACAAAACCTTGATGTCCGACGCTGGCATGTCGGTAAGTCCTTTGCGTCATGCTTTACATTATAAGAAACGATGATTTAGTTTACAGAAATGCTTACACAAAAAATATAATGTTTAGATTTCATTTTAAAACCAACAAAAAACTTCAATCTAAATCAGTTATATTATGCATTCAAAGTATATATATATATATATAAATTCTAAATACTTGTTAGTAAATAATTACCCAGATAATCAGACTTAAATGCATTGGAACAACTTTGCTTATGATCCTATATGATATAAAACATGTCCATCATCTTGGAAAATCATCAAAATATCAAAACTAGCCAAGAAAAAAAATTGATGGGGCGCTTTCTTACTATTTAGAAAAATACTTTCAACTTTGAATAATTTAATAATTTGATTTAAGTATATATTTATTATCATTATTATTATTACTATTATTTATTATATAAAAAAAATTATGCTTAAATTTAGAATAAAATATTTTAAGCTATTACTTATGAATAAGAAAATAAAATTATAAATTGAGTATAAATATAATTTTGTAAAATTAATTTTTTATTAATTACAGCGGCCAGCATGAATATCATTTTCATTTTAATGCATATAAATTTGCCCTTCCAATGTAATTTTTCAGCTTGATGTTTCATTTTCAAGCATGTAATAGTGCGTAATTTTGTTGTTTAATACTGAAGGAACAAAACATAATTACAGACCATTTATGAAAACATCAAGTCGAGGGCATATTAGTCAATACACAAAGTTTTTATGCCAACCAATATTAATTCTACCCTTGCCGAGAGGCTACTTATATACCTGCGGAGCTACCGCTATGCATGAATATAGTGCTATTTAGTACAGGAAAAATTCAAAGAATATAGATTAAAGGTTAACTTCTATTTTTCTATCAGGCCCGCCCTTTTCTTCGCTTCAGTACTATGATTATTTATTTTATTTTTTTAATCACGATTTCCTTCATCAAAACAAGCATATATTGTTTAGTAAAACAAAACCTTGTTTGGTCTCTCCCACAATTTTCAATTTTATATGATATGTTTCAGGCTTATATGAAACATTTGATAGTTTTTTCTTTCTTAGCTTCACCTATCTATCTATCTATCTATCTATCTATCTATCTAAATATATATATACTCTCCGAGAATTGTTGATTTTCTCTAGGGATGGAGGAGAAAGGTAAATCAGATGGATTGGATGGATGATACTAGAGAAATTGTGTCAAAAGAATAAAATGGGCAAAACTTAAATTGAGGCTTTGTGCTACATTTTTAGAACAAAGGATTCTGCGAGCACGCAACACACTCCCTGTGACTGGAAAATTATTTTATCATGGAATTCTGACTTAAATTAAATCAAAATAAATCTTTGTTTTCAAAATTTATTTTAAATGTATAAAAGTCAAAATTTTAACATCACAACAAAAATATCATTATAACTAACTTTTTTAGGTAAAAGTCACGTTTTTATGCCTAATTTTTAAGTAGTAAGTTATAAAAATATAAATAACAACCAATAAGTGTTATGTAAGTACATGCATAAGAATTGAGGCTAAGAAAGTTGTATGTTTGAAGGGTAAGCAATTGCCCCCCTCCCCTTCCATATATTTTTATTACCTAATATACAAAAAAAAATAGATATTTGATAATTTCGCCTGCTCTTAAAAAAATAATAAAGTGTAATGCTCTAACCATACCTCAATCGTAAGCAATATAAAAACATGATTTTATACAACTCATCTTAGCCTCAATTCTTAGGCATGCATTTCTAACGCTTACTATTTATGTTTTATATTTATACAACTTAGTATTTAGAACTTATGCCTAAAAATGTGTTTTTTATTTTAAGAAAAAATAGTTGTTGGGATATTTTTATCGTGATGTTAATGATTTGACTATTATATATTTAAAAATAAATTTAAAACAAAAAATTTATCCCGACTTAGTCATTCTTTTTTCCAATCATTGGACTGTGTTACGTGCCGGCAGAATCATTTTTTCCTGAAAGTGCAGCACAAAAACAATCTAAATTTGTGCAATCCATCAGTTCTAACCTCTCCTGCAACCCCAGAGAAAATCAACAACATTATGAGAACAGAGTATATGTATATATATATATATATATATAATGAGAGCAGAGTATATATATATATATATATATATATATATATATATATAGTGGTTGTAGAAGAAGATAGAAAATATCTTCAAAAAATACTGATAAATAAAAGCAAATTTTATCAGGGAAATGGAAGGAACCGGATCTTCTCAATTCCTGGACAGCGAAATCCTTCCGCTCAACACAATAAACAGCAATGCCCAAACTCATCCTGCAAACCTCCCCATCCCTTGCCCAACCCTCAAAATCAAAGCCGACAGCGAAGAATACGACGACGGCATGACCATCGAAGACCTCCAGCGCCGAATTTGGTTCGACCAACTCCGCATCGAACGCATGAGAGAACAAGAGCAACAACAACAACTCCACGTCGAAGAAAGCGCCAACAACTGCATCGACCCAACAGACAACAAACTCAATTCAAAAATGCAACAAACGCGCCGCAAAAAATTATCCCGAGTACGAGACTCCCTCATCAAATACATGCTTCAACTTACCGACGAATGCAAAGCCCAAGGCTACGTCTACGGCATTATCTCCGAAGCCGGCAAGACCATCACCGGCTCCTCGGATAACCTTCGCGCTTGGTGGAAAGATCAGGTCCGGTTCAGCCACTCCGCCCCCAAAGCTCTCGAGGACTTCGCACGTGAGCGCTGCACGCCTGGCGGCCGCAGTGCTGCTCCTCCCGGCTCGCTCAAGGACCTCTCCGATACCATGCTCGGCTCCCTTTTGTCGGCCATGATGCCGCACTGCAACCCCCCGCAGCGGAGGTTTCCATTAGAGAAAGGGGTGGCCCCGCCGTGGTGGCCCACCGGCTACGAAACCTGGTGGGCTCTAAACGATATGACGAAGAATGTACCTCCGCCGCCTTATAGAAAGCCACATGATCTAAAAAAGGCTTGGAAGGTCGGCGTGTTGCTGTCGATTATAAAGCATATGGCGCCGGATTTGGACATGGTTCGGCGGCTTGTGAGGAAGTCTAAGTGTCTTCAGGAGAAGATGTCGGCGAGGGATCTGAAGATATGGATGGCGGCTGTGAAAGATGAGGAGGAGGCTTACCGGAGAGGGAACCCGGGAGTCGGTGGCGTCGAATTGCAGGCTCAGGAATTAGGAAATAATAACAATTTTGATGAGAAGGCGGAAGAGATCATGATACGGAATGTGGAGAGTCCCGAGAGCACGGAGGCCGATTTCCATTCCACCAAATCTGCGGCGAACGTGTTAGAGCAAACGATACTTCCGGAAATAGAGGATAACGGCCATGCTTGGACTGATGTGGTGTTCAATAATTTCCACCCTGTTGCTGTACCTGTGGAGGGCAACGGGTTTCTGCAACAGAATCAGTGCCATCGTTCGTTTCCATTGCAAATGCAGGGGAATGATTCGAGCTTTGATGGGATGAACAAGAGGAGAGTCGATCAAGTGGATTTAAGCTTCGGTAATCTGAGTTTCGAGACAGTGATTGGCGGAGCACCAAGCGAACTTGGATTTCTCTTTGGGATGGAGAATTGGCAGGTGAATCAGGGCAATGGTGGTTTTCTGAATTACTGAAACATGAAGTCATGGCTACGGCTTTGATTGGAACTGATGCAAAAATAGTAGCTTCATACAAAATCTGAAACTAATTTATACCAATTTTTAATTAAATAAATAGTTGTTCGGTGGAGATGTTTGTTTGTTGTCTTTTAAATTTGTGGTTTAATTGGTTTTTTCCCTTCTATTTCTTGATTATTTTTAATTTTTTTTTAATTTGTGGTTTAGCTGGCTATGGGCCTATGGCAAGCGCGAATTGCTATCATGCACGTACATTTTATAAGCTTTATAACACATTCACAGGATATCAGCATAACATACATTCATATGAAATGTGTCAACATATTTATATATTCAATTGCAGAAAGTAATAACATGAAGGAAAGAGAAATGTATTGAACCCACATGTTATTGATAGAGTAAATATTAACAATGAAAATGATAAAACAGGTCAAAAAGCTAAAGACAATTAAGAAATTTTTAATTGTTAAAAAGATAAATTAATTTATTTATTTTGCAGATAAATAAATACACCATTATAATATATATATATATATATATATGAAATTATTAAATGATAAATAATAATTTTCACCATTGGATGAATCATGCCGAAAAATAAAATAATATAGATCATCTATTAAATAGCAAATACTTTTAATTTCTTTATTATTATTATTTTATTTTTTGTGGGTGCATTGGTTATACTGCTCAAGTCCTATGATATTTAACGATCATAAATTAAAAATCATACAAAAATGTATCCTAAATTCAAGAAATAAACTCATTGTCAGTCTTTATTCATGTATAACATCCCTCCATCTTTAAAAATATTTTTATTAATGGTACACAAAGCCAATGCCTTTTTTTGATCTTCATAGAAGTTTTCTGCGTAGCAATTGCGTTGCATGCCATTTGCCTCTTTTGTATCCCGTTATTAATCTCTCTAAAATTGCCTTAAAACTCACAAAGCTCTTGATTGCCAAATCTATATATATTTTAGGCCTTACAATGTCTTTCGTACTAACAAATATTAACGTCCCCCCAAATTATTATTGATGGAGAGACTAGGCTACCACCACAAGTAATCCCTGCTGCTCTACAAAGGAGAATAATGAATTGGAAGGAGTTGATCAGTGCTCAAATGTTAAGAATAAGGATATTTTTGTAATATATGCCGACAATGGTGGTAAGGGGTGAAAAGGGGCTCTCTTCTTTGGGGAAGATCTCTATATTGGGGGCAAAGTTAAAAAGCTGACTTTTATTGGTTATGTCATTCAAAAACAACCATAATGATTTTAATCTTTGCTAAGCCTATTATAAATCTTGGTTGTAATCTTCTGAATGCAAGTAACCAAGCCAACTTATAGGTGATCCAAATCAAACATGACATTTTCCAGCATTTTTTTTTTTGTTTGAAATGGTATGAAACATACAATAACTGCACAAGTATACGCGTCTCTTAAGTAATAAACACATTTAAGCATACCATAACTGCACAAGTACACGCGTCTCTTAAATAATAAACAAATTTGATTTCATATATCGATCCAACTAAAAACTTATTTAATTTTCAAAATAGAAAAAATTATAGTCTACTAGCCCTACGTTTAGCTTAAAAGACTGAATGAGTTTTCAAAGTGACTAAATCCTAATTTTCTAAAATGAAATCTTAATTATGTTTAGAGAGAGAATTTCAGATCAATCCACAAAATCTTATGGTAAATAAAAATCAAGAACAAAACTACTCCTTAGTCCCTTCTAAGTCCATAAGAAACATTAAAATTTCATATTACAATTAGTTATCTTTATTATGCAAAAATCCTGGTGTTTACAAATTTATCAAAATGATGGCACGAGTCTAGCAGCAATATTCTTATTATCCTACACCTGAATTAAACTTGGCGAGCTGTATAAATTACAAAAAAAAGTTCATACAATATACATAAAATGTCTCATGCAATCGAAATAACCAAAACCATCTGATTATAAGAAAAAAAAAAAAAAAATTGGTGCATCCTTTTTTCTCGATGCTTTTACTTTCATCAACAACCTCAATTCTTAGCATAAAGTAATAAAAGACCACCATGCCATGAACCTGCTAAGTAGCTAAAGCAAGGGCTTCAAGTTTGGGAATAATTTGCCAAAAATAAAAAATTAAAATTAAAATAATATAATAATACTAATAAAAGAAAATCTTGGAATTTGGTCGGTGATCTCAAGCTGACTCAGGGTCTGTTTGGGGCAGCTGCAGCTTATTTAGCTTATTCAGATAAGTTGCTTATCCTGATAAGCTGCTGATAAGTAACAGATCATGATAAGTTATTCGACTGTTTGGTTTGTGTGTTTCAAAAACAACTGATTCTGGATAAATGATCATTCTGGCTCTGACATCCTTCATAAAATAACATTATATATAAATACTTATTTAACGGTGCTTTAAAAAAATTTATACATTTAGGAAGGATGCTCTGGTGAGACACGAGGAAGGTGGCGAGACAAGCGGGTTTCTATCGAGACGAGAGAAGGGGCAAGTCATGCGAGGGAGGCGAGGCTGAGCGTTGTTCGACGCAGAGAGGAGAGGAGACGAGCGGGGCTTTGATGCGGCAAAAAGGAGCCGAGAGATCATCGTAGAGAGGAGAGGAGAGCCGAGCGGGAGAGGTAGGCGGCTGAGCGATGGCATGCTAGCGAGGTCTCGGTCGTGCAAGAAAAGGAAGCAGACGAATGGAGCTTCCGTGCGGCAGGAAGGAGTCGAGCGATCTTCGTAGAGAGGAGAAGTGAGCCGAGCTTCGATCGGGAGAGGGCATGCAAGCGATACATCTCGGTCGTGTGTTAGAAGAAAGCACACGAGAGGGTCAATTTTTTTTTTTTCGCTCGAACTAAACACGGATCGCGGGGTCCTACCAGTGATCCTTGTTTAATACAAAAATGGGAACGACGTTTAGGAATACGCCGCCAAAACGCATCATCCAAACAATTAGTGGCGCTTTCAAAACTCTACTGCTATGAACAAGCTTTCCCAAACACACCCTCAGTTGCACCTCTTATTATTATAGTTTCTAAGAAATTAATTAAATCATATTTTACTTAGAACTTTTATTTTTATCATTTGGAAGTAACCCAAATTCAAAGCCAGTGGGGAACACAAGCACATGCCACACACCAACACTTTGATTATGGGGCCCATTTATAGGACCATGATCGGCCCGCTGAGTGGGTGCAGTGTGGGCCCAAGAAGATCACCTCCATCCAAGAATTTGGGCGATTGCTCTGGGCCCCGGTTTATAAATTTTTAAAATCTTATAATAATTAAAAAAAGAAAAAAATTTGGCTACGTGGCTACATCTACACCATACTTGTGAGTTTAATTTGGATTTGGAATGTTATTGAGAAGTATTCTGCTAAATAAGTCATTTGATCTTTTTCCCTGGAAGCGTGCGATATAATTTAGGAAGATTATTATTTAATGTCTATTTTTTATTTAACACCGGCCATGTGCATCATTGTTAATATTTTATTCAAAAAGGTTCTTTTTAATTAACAATGATTCGAGGTGGTTTATTTTATTTGATAATTAATTTATGTTAATTCAAATTAAAAGAGTACTTTGAAAGCAAAATATTTTGATTATAATAGGAATTATATAATTGTATGAGGTAATCATTTTAAATTTATAAATTGAGATATTAAATCATAAAATAATATACTTACTATTGTATATCAGAATGACAAAGCTCTATCAAAATCTGCGAAGTGACGGTCGGTAGTTGACAGTCCGGATGTACGGTATCTGGGTGAAATATTTTCTCAAAAAGTTGAGCACGCCCCACTCCGAACCACACCCTTATTCAAGTTGTCACCAATAGTAGTGATTGGTACTTTTGTTGGTATTCAATAACAAGACTTGTTCATTGTGCAATGATTGCAGCCAAAAGATGGAGGCCAATGAATGTCATCCTTGGTCTCCAATAGGAGTAAAATGATGAGTGTTTGATAACATTAATTGCCAGCATCAAACGACAAAAAAGGATGGTTGATGAGTATCAGATGTGAAAAGCTATCTGGTATGATTTTTTTTTTAACTAGCAAAGAGAATTTAGTGGCTAAAAATTCAAAAAAGAAGTACAAACCAAAATACTAGAAGTGGGCATGTGCAGATTCAAAAGAGAGGGTCTATAAACCAATATAATCTTTTACAAATTCAAAATCTCTCTTTGTTGAAACTTCCTTAAAATGTATAGAACTATGACCTATTTATATCATATTATTTATAATCAAATGTACCAAATATTTGCACACCTTATTAATAAATTTTATGAATGTATTTTTGCTATATATATATATATATATTAGAATCTATCAACCTACCATCTTAAATGAGATGACCCAAATCATTCATTTTTACTTTATAAAGTAATTGGAAATTCATATCATAGGACTGAGCAGGGTAACAATAAGCGAGGAGAATACATCAGAGCTCCCTTATTGGGAGTAATATTGAAAGCCCCGCTTCAGAGCTCCCTTATTGGGAGTAATATTGAAAAGTATAAAAAGAGATATCTATATAAAAAGTATAAAAAGAGAGTATTATAGAATCAGTCAGTTAAAAGGTAATTTGGTAAGAACTTATTTGATGGTGAGTGATATTCTTTATGATCACCCGTAAGCTAAATGCTTCGTGGTTGAGGTGTTAGGTTGTCAGGAAGAAGGATGAAACAAGTTGTAGGGAGTGGTTTGGTTAAGATGCTCGCCGGCTGATCCATTGTAGAAATGTAATTTAGAGCCACTTCGTTGGATAACATTTTCTCGTGGATGAAGTGATAATCTATCTCGATGTGCTTGGTGCAAGCGTGGAAGATATGATTGCGAGCAATCATCATCTTAGAGATGTTGTCGCAATAAAATTTAAGTTGGTGAGATGATTGGAACTTGAAATTCATGGAGTAGTCTGCATAGCCATATGTCTTCGGTAGCTGCTGTGGAGAGAGCTCGGTATTCAGCTTCGGTGGAGGAGCAGG